CGTTTTGGCACCACGTGGTCTCTTTCATCTCTTTTTTTTTTTTTTCATTGAAACGTTGGAACTTGAGCATTTGCGCACTATTTTCCAGACTGAGCTCCAAGCCCGTGCTGTGCGTCCCGGGCTCCTTCTCTTGGGAACGGATTCTGATCTTGGCAGCCCGGGAAAGACTGATCAGTGTGGCCAGACTGACCTCATCCTGTGGCTCTCCAAGTTGCATCCACAGACACACACACACACACACACACACACACACACACACACGCACACGCGCACGCGCGCACACACACACACACACACACACCATCTGGAGAGTACAGACTCCACTTATCAGGCGCAGCCAAAAAGATGATTGCTTAACAGCATGGCCGCACCTTCATTTGATCAGATGGACTATATTTGCATGCTTTGGGCTTCGCCCTTGTGCGGTTCGAGCAGGAAGGGCAGAACAGACATGGAATCTGTGTGCTTGGCGAATCGCTGGTGTCTAATAATACCACCGAAGCACTCTGTAACTTTACGCCCTCCTAAAAGTGCAAACTCCAAGTCCCCTGATGGCTCCACAACACTGAGGCCTAATCAGCACATACTGCGTGCTTTTCATTATCCTTTGACAACATTTAACTGAGCAATTACAAACTGTGCACAGCTTGACCCTTAGCGATGTGTAGAGATGGGTATCGTTGAGGTTTTAACGGTATTACTATTTGTTCTCTTATCTTACTTATTGTACTTATTGTCAAGTAAAAATCCGCTTCATTTGCGCGTCAAATTCACTTCACAACAGACACGGATTCGCATCGTGGGCAGGGCTTCGGTCTGCCTGGTGACTGTAGCTTCGTTGTTAAATGGCTAACATGGATTTTATTGAGAGAATAACTAGGCTTATGTGCTTTAAGAAGGCTGAAAAACAGCGTCGATTTGTTTGGAGCCCTGTCTGAGTCCACTAGATCCATTCATATGTGCACCCAGCTCTGTGAGCTCAAACTCCTCCAGACACTTAACCTGCATGATGGACACGTTCAGCGGTGCTTCTGACTGAGCTGAGTCCAGTTTGATCAACTGTTGTCAGTGCAGACAGGAGGATTTTCCACGGGGAGACCAACATCAGGTGCTACGTCATAATCACACCTCCACAATAGCAAGCTCCTGATTGGTTTAACGCGGCACGAATGTTAAAATTTTCGAACTTGAGCGCGTCAAACGCATAAAACGCTTAATACGCGAAGCATTATTCGTGCCGCAGGATGTCTATTTGCAGTTTTGCATTGACTTACCATGTTAATCAATTTTCTTTCATTACTTTCAACATTTTTTTTTAATTATGTTTACCTTTGTTTCACTTTGGGTTTGTTTTTATTTGATTTGTTAAGATTTTTATTGATATTTGCTTAATTTTTTGATGTCTGATTTTGTGTTTTTATTTTATTTTCGTTTAGTATATTATTTTATTTCATCTGTTGCAATTTTATTTAGTTTTGTTTTGGCTGTTTTTTTGTTGTGGTTTTGCTTTACATTTTGTTTTAGTTTTTGTGAGGTAGGGGTTGTTAGGCCTACTTTAAGACACCATGATCAACAATGTCCATTCAGTTTGTAGTAAGATTGTACCACGGTACTGCCTCAGATCTCTTTTTAAGGCTATACAGCACTCAGATTCATCAGTCACAGAGTAATATATGCTTCCCTTCCTCATCACTCCATCACCCAAACCTAAAAGAGCCGTGAGCCATGATTTAGATTCAATTCTGTGGTCCATCCCATCATGAATCAATTGTCAGTCAGGAAATGCGGATAGCATGGTGATGCTGTGATGTTAATCAAATTATGCGATATAACATGTAAAACGTGATCATGTAAGGATCATTTAAAAAGCAACTCATGGAAACGCCTTAGTCTTATTATTCTCCATACGTAGTCATTGGGAGTTTGGATTAATCTGATTGGCTAACTAATGATTGTAGATGAGAGACCAGCTGTGATCAATCATATCACGTGCTCCTCTCGAAATCAGTCTGTGAAACTTAACTTGATGGAAA